AACTGCAACATCAAGGCCTCATTATGGAACTGCTACCTACGTGCCAATTCTCGTTCCAAGTGATTCGATAGTGTTTCTACTTTAGTTTCCTCTAATTCGTCTTCGATCAAACTACGAAGTTCAGGAAAAAAGTAGGCCTTTCCAGCAGTGCTATCTTCATCAGACGGAACTGTCTTCGGCTTCTTATCTTGCGGCATGTCTAAGACAACCGTTGCCATGTTAGGATACGACAACCTATTGAAAGTAGCTGACACTCTCTCTCGAGTACTTCTTGAGGTTTGGCATTAAGGTCCCCGCTTTCATCTTTGTCAAAACCACGTACTTTGGCTCTGTCGCTATCAGGCATCCTCGACGTTTCCAAACGACTGGTTCGTCCGTCATTTTCTTGTTCGAGCGATTAAAAAACTCGTTTCATGGCCTCGTGGCGTAATTCCAAAGATGGGAACTCCTCGGCGATATCTTCCGCTCGAAAAACCCAGCTTCCTTCGCTCCACGGGTTTGAGAGGCGCTAACTTTTTGTCTTGAACCATGTCAACTGAGCCCGAAACATGGCTTCCGCCCTCTTGATAATATCTATACAATAACAATTCATACGAGGTTCTCCAGTATTCGTTTTCGCTTCTACGGTCTTTGATAGAACGCACGCATCGAGAACAGTATGATTGTATTTATTTATGTCCGCTTTGCAATCCTCCCACTGAATTTTTATACAAGAGCCCCAGATATTTCGTGGTTTCCCTGTTAGAGGTTTCTTTCTAATTTTTGACTTGTGATTCGAGATATTGGACGCGTTCTTTAAGTTGGTCCACCGTTCTGATTTTTTTCTGTACATTTGGGGCAAAGTTTTTTTGTTTCACCTTCTTCGATCTCCTCGTCTTGTTTCAGAGATCGATCGCAATACATTTTTTCTCTGCTTCAAATCTCGTGTGTCAGCTGCGAATCGCGACTCTTCTCCATTCTACGACTGCTCTCTTTCCATTCTTCTACAGACTCGTTGGCTTCAATCAACGAACGCATTAAAACGCTCCAGGTGTCCCTATGACTACTCATCATTGAAAACAGTTCCAGTAAACTTTGTGTAGGCCTTTGCCAGCCAGCCCTCTTTAACATCTTGAAGTGCTAGAACTTCGTCCCACGAGGCAGCCTCTAGGTCATCATGAAATAATGTTGGGTTATAACTTGCATAATTGCATTGTTCATGTAACGTTAAGTATTCGTCATTTTCTTCATTTATACTTCGAACTCGCTTGATGTATATTGACGAATGAAATTAGTTTTACACACAGAACATAATCATCATAATGGCGCAGATAGCTGTTTCTCTCTATTTCAATCGGATTCAGCGTCGTTTAACAAAAGCTGTAGCTTAAAAATTCTTTGCGGAGGTTTCATACTGGCAATCAGTAGGCCAGATTGAGGAATATACGATCGCCGGCGAATTATCTCAAAAGCATGGTTTTTACGCTTAAATATGTCCTAAAGATGAAGACAGCGACATTTTGGCACGTGCCTAGTGATAGGACTTTGCCGGAATCTTTAACTAAAGGTGCATTCCTTTGGGAGGATCCGGATTAGGATTTGTGATCCAAGATCACACAGATCACAGTGCATCAAAAGAACAGAGCACAGGGATACCATGAAGGTTACCCTGAACTTGAACGATTCGTTGAAATCCGAATTTTCCAATGTTACATATGATCTCACACGATGATTTCAGTATGAAGAAGTTCTCTTACAAACTGAAATCGAACAAGGACAAGAGCGCTTACATGTCTGATCGGCGCTTATCGGACTTGATAAGATTCAGCGAATGATATATGTTCAAGTTGTTCCTTGTCGGAATTGTCGACATTTTTTCTTGATTTTATGTAACTCCTTTCGCTTGACTGTAACTCTGATTAATCTCTCTTGGATTCGGCTTGTAGCTCTCACTGACAACTCGCTAATTGTTTTCTTGTCATTTACTTCTACTAAGTAAACTCTAAAGTAAATGCTCTGATATTCACCATCATAGGCATGAGTGGGCGTGGTGGCCAAATGACTTTAGAAGATTAATAAACCTTTGTTGTCAGAGCTCCAACTCAAACACTCCTACAAGAATCTCTCACATGAACGACAACGTACTTAATGCTTCCGATCAACTTTCGTGTGCTATCAGAGCCAGGTTAGTGGACAAAATAAACACGTCCACTCGTAAAAGTTAGACAAAAAAGTCACAATTTGGAAACTCATTGCGATAGTTCAAACCTAAATAACTTTGATTTTCAAATTCAGATAACAACTAAATGATAAGTATAAACGAATGACGAAATGATTCTGAACTAACTAAATATTTCATAATATCTCCTTCGTTTTTCTAAAATTCGATGGATTACGTTTCGCTGATCTTTTTTTAATGACGCACAAATACTTATACCATGCAACGAACTTTCTTGTTGATCAAATCACGTGATGCAACATTTTGTTATTTCCTTATGAACTCTCGATGCGAAAAAAGAAGAATCAATTTCGTAACATGATTGGAAAACGATTTTGTTCGCCTGCTGGCTGAAGGTGAGGTAAGTTTTGTTTGATTTCCCAATTTCAGCTTTTGTTTACTTCGAAATCAGCCATAAACTTAAGGATTTCCATTTTACGAATGCCGCGTGTTCGTGTACACACGGCATCCATGTTTACTCAGCTTGCTGAACTTGTTGTTTTGAAGTAATTTTAAAGGGCACGCAAAGCCGTGAGTGGCATGGTGAAGGAAAAGATAATTTTTTTTGCCAGAAAATTTGCCGTTTTCCTGGTTTTACTCGAGCGGCTCATGAACTACCAGTTCAGCATGTCAATATTTAAGTACCGCTCTCGCTAAGAGCGGTCCTCACGACTTCCCGTCCAAAAAAATTTTCTTTTATTTTTTCCCACGAAAAGGAGTTAGGACACATGTTTTAAAAATAATTTAGTTGTTCTCCAATTCTCTTTTGGCGTCGCCACAAGCCAAAAATGATTTTTGGCTACACCACCCGTGTGGACAGCGTTCGAAAGTGGAAAGTTCATGGATTTTGTCCAGCGCTCAGCGACTGCAAAAATATAGCTCACGGAATTCTATCTTGTTACAAGTTACTAGATGTGTTCAGTTAGTTCACAGACAAAATATGGAAACTTCACCTTAAAAGGAAACTGACTCCTCAGTGCGGATCAGAATACGTGTTAAAATGCGAATTTAACAGTTTCAGCTGGGTGAAAAGGCAAGCTATATCGTAAATTAGAAATGAACGCCCCGAGAGCCAATTAGAAGATTTGCAGTGACTGTTTATCTTTCGCTGCTTGTCTTTGCCGTGTTTATCAGTACAACGAACAAATGATACATGTAAGGCACACGAGAAAGTTTTATTAGATGTTCTGGTGCTGGAGTCCTAATAAGCTCAATGACTGAAATATATACTCGGTAATTGCATAATTTTATTTCTTCGACAAGATTCATCGACCAGAAAACCTAGGAACATATTTATCACGTAAACAAATTCATTCCGTATTACTGTCACTTAGAAAGAAACAAGTTCTGAATGCTCATCAGTGGGTAAAATTGTATCCCAATCGCTTGTATCATCGCAGTATTTTGACATTACTTGTGGTCTTGTTCTTCCTACTTGTGGTTGGGATCGTCCTCCTCCTACAGCAAACATAATCCCTGAAGCAGATATTGTTCGCATTATGTACTACAGAGACACAGTTTACAGTTATGCCAGATGGGCCACTGTTAATGACAAAACATTCAACCTTTACCGGAAGGATATCGCCGATGTACTGGTGAGATTGGGAGGAGCTTGTTACCAAAATGCTATTAATAGTATCAAGACAGAATGCATGAACACTAATTTGGAGAAATACTGTCAAGAGCTTTTAAAAAATTGGTTTCCATCAAGGAAAGAGAAGATAGAGCAGAAGGTAAGTTATATCAGTTTGTTACGAAGCTAAATGTCCTAACAGATTCAGTGAGCTACACTCTTTTTTCACTGTTTTTTAAAGAGAACGTCTAATTTTTGGGGCGGAGGCTTAACGTTGTTAAATTTTTTTCCTTGCGATTTGAACCTAACAACGATCTTAAAGTTGTTTGCTATAGTATTTCATGAAACCAATTTGGAATGACCAGGACGCCTATCAGTTAGTGCAGACTAAGTCCGACAAAAAGCTGAGTTGTTCATCAGTTTATCGTGCCATCAAAATAAAGCGTTGTTACTGTGAAGCTAGAGAGATTAATGAAATACCTTTTCAAACTATATTTATGATGATGAATGATAGGGCGATTTTGTATACTTCTTTCGGTAACTTTATCAAAGCAGGAAAGTTTTAAAATACCTGAAATCCACTGCAATAAGATGGAGAGGGAGGACTGAGATCGCCTTCTTATTTTTGTTCGTTTACATTCTTGTGAAGCACTGCTTCTACAAGGAAAAATAAAGGACGCCGAGGAAGAATTGAGCCTCAAGAATTATTTTCCACCTCCTTCACTGATCTAGATGCCATGTTTGGTGAAACATTGAAAAGTTTTCTCATCCACCCATGAGATCTTCAGACAGCTTTCAAGCAAAACGCACACAACTTAGACTTTTTAAGGAAGCAAGAAGAAAAACGATTTCCAGTTTTTATGATGGGAAAAGACGACATAGACCAAAACATTCCCTAAAGATCCAAGGTAATGGCTGTTGTAATCTCCACCATCTCTTAGATTTAAAAAGGAGCGGTACTGTCGACATTTTCTAACCATGTTTAACCAGTGAATGTAAGTTTTCGCAAATACCAAAGCAACTCTGATGCTACATTGATTTTAAACGCCACTGATGAGGTGGGTCATGTAAACTCAAATCGGATATTTTAAACGTATCAGACGAGGGAGTAAGGCCTTCTTTGCTTTGCTCCTTTGGAGCAATCAAGAATGGACAGAAAAGAAATCCAGGCATGATGTCTTGCGATGAAACCTCTTTTACATCAATTAACCAAGTGATGTTATAGATTCAATGGTAAATGGTTACTCCATCAGTGTGGTAACGATGAATGTGGACAGTCACAGCGAGAACGAGCATTCATGGACAGAAAATTCATTGACCTCTACTTTTAGATACCTTGAAGAGATAATGGCTGAGGCCATCCAGCTGGTTGCCTTAAACGCAACAGGCGCGAGGGAAAATGATCCTGCAAACCAGACAGTCGAAAAGACAGGCATACAGGAAGAAACAGGCGATGTGCGAGAAGCAGAGGCAGCCGTGACACAACCAATTAACGAGGCGAACACTCCAGGAGAATCTGCTCCATCAAATGAAACGACCGTAGAAGCTGAGCGGCAACCCATGGCAACACTTATACGAGAGAGTCCACGCCCTGTTTGCAGTCATTATCAACGCCGATGCTTGGTCCGGTTTCCCTGTTGTGGAAAGTTCTCCACTTGCCACTGCTGCCACAACGAGTCTGATTGTACTGAGGATCAGGCAAGAGCAGCAAATGCCACTTATATACGCTGTACTATCTGCTATGACGAACAAGGGGTGAGACTTTTTTTGAGAACAGAATTTAAGTTTCCCTCGCTTTCTTTTTTAAGACGAGATATACAGCAACAAAGTTCCTGTAGATGCAATCAAATTGCCTTGTTTAAAGAAATGCTGTAAATTGACCGCCTAAATGATTTTCTCTCTCTTATTTGTATGACATTCTCCATGCATTTCAGATCGACGAAAATAGCCAGGGGTGCGGCTCCTGCAACTCGAAAATGTCGGAATATTTCTGTGCAACATGTAAACACTTTACGTCTGTTGACAAGAACCCTTTCCATTGTACGAAGTGTGGGATCTGCAGGTTAGGTGCTATGCTCCGGCCATGTACATTTACTTCAGAATATGTTTCAATAAATCATCAATTCAGCCTTGAAACAGTTAGAGATTTTTTACATAGTTTTAAGAAGTAATAACCTTTGTCGGCCTCGCACGCATTGACCTCATACACAGGCTTTTTTCTTTAAGATAAGGTCTTTGGAAAATAATTTTCCTTTCTTACAAGTACAAGCGAATAACTATTTGAGGTAATTTGAAGTGGAAAGCTGAAGAATTGCAGGGGAAGGATTATTTGCTTTGCCACAGTTTCCATCGGGTATAGAGGGAGTAGTATAAACCTAGTGAGTATAGTTATTCTGGTGAGGGTAGGTTTCTTATTCATTACAAAACACTGTTATTTTTCTGCATTACTTCTTAATTATTGGATAGAATCCATAGCGACAGATCCTTCCACTGTGATGTTTTTAACGTATGCCTGGAAAAACGTCTTGATGGAAAACGTAAGTGTAGACCTGATTCGGGACACGATGAATGCTGTATTTGTCTAGAGGTGAAGTATCTCTACCCATGGCGTGAACAAACGTATTCGTGATCACATGTGCTCAAACAATATTTTTGTTATGTGTTATGTTTTCATTTACTTTTTATTGACTTTTTTTCTTTTAAACTTCTTCCTACTGCTTAAAGAGATCGTAATTCTTAAAATGTATCTTCTCGTCCATCCTTTAACGCCCAAAGGATTTGAAAAAATCTCTGTAAACTGCGTTTTTTTTTACATTGTATAGGATGTCTTCAATGGCTGTCAAATTCTACCATGCTTCACAAGGTTTACTGTGCCGTTAAAATGATACACAATGGGGTTTAAGTACATTTCATGAAACTTCTTGTATTCATTCAACACCTGGATATCCTAGGGTAGATCATTCTATCGCTCGGTACCATTAGCTTGGAAAGTTACTTAGCACAAAAATAATTTAAACATGCAGAGGTTGAAAAGCCAATTTTTTTGTTTCGTTATTTGTATAATTTTCAGTTCAGTTCATGAGAAAGGGGAGCCACTAAACTTTCCTTCCTACTGCTTCACCAGTAAAATCTAGAAAATCGTATCTGCAAGGTGCCTTTGTCGTTGTTTAAACAACTTAAAATAGATGAGGAATAGAAGCATCGTAGTTATTTTAGTATTGTGTTCTACAAGTGCATATGATTTACCTTTTTGTCATTGATTTGTGCTCTTGAGTTCTACGTGCGTATGTTTTCTCTCTAGTTTCTGTTTTCATGTGATGGCTTGGGTGGCCTGTAAGTACTATTTTAAATGTGTCAAAAGAATAGATATTGGTGCAAAAGTCGTAACTGTGGATCCGTCGTTCTAACTTTGGATCTGCACTTATGTCTTAGGACTCGTGTTTGAAACTTCTACACCAGCGCCCCAAATACATTTTACTTTTAATTAGAATAGCACTTACTGGCCACCATAGATGACCGGTTTTTTTTATAAAAAATTTAATCATTTGCTTAGTAGTAACCTCTCTTATGTATTTCCTTTTCTCGCAGTCGAACGTGCCCATTATGCCGACATTGTTGTTCGGCCAACTTCAATCTAGTCCTTAGTAACTCAAACATTTCAAATAACAAATTTCAAATAATGCAAATTGAAATAACTATACTCAAAAAATAAGTAGATAACGAAGATAATTGACGTCTCACTCAAGCAGAAATGTTTAAATTAAAGATCGATTTGTGACTTGATTTTTTAGCTAGCTTGTCCAAACCATTGCCAAAGGTAACCAAAGCAGCATCGTTTTTCGGTAAGTCGAAAGGGCGCTTTCCTCGATGTTCTGCATCACAATTTCAGCTACAAAAACAGAAACTGAAGACCCCATAACTGTACCGTGTAACTGCTTGTAGTGATTACCGTTGTACTGAAAGTAAGTTGACGTCAGGCAAAGGTTTAGTAAGTCCATAATGTCCTTTGTCGGTAGCGGTAGAGGGTCGGTAGATTGTAGGATAGCAGTCTCACTACATTGTAGTGCCAGTTAGGGTTTTGAAGGAGACAGCATATGAGATCGCTCCATCCTTATGGGAACTATTCAACAAGTCTCTCAGACTCAGCTTCCTTCCCATGGACTGGAAACTGGCCAACGTTGTCCCTGCATCAAAGAAGGATAATAAAAAATATGCCGAGAACTACAGGCCAATCTCGTTACTGTGCCTGGTTTCCAAGGTGATAGAACGTTGCGTGTTCAATTCAACCAAAGACCACGTGTACGGTCTGATCGAGAGCTCACAACACGGTTTCATAACGGTCATGCGTGACGCAGTTGGTAGAGGTACTCGAATACATCGGCCCCAACTCGACAACGGGGGTCAGGTTGATGTTATCTACATTGATATGTCGAAGGCTTTTGACAAAGTGACTCATCGCAAACTACACAGGAAGCTGCGTGATTACGGTTTCAGCGGAAAGCTTCTGGTCTGGCTGGAGTCCTACCTCCACGATCGGATGCAGAGGTTAACGGCACTCGGAGTGAACTTGCCAACTCTAGCTAATCAGAATGAACAAAAGAATCGGCAAAAGGGGTTAACTAATCAAAAGTCATTATATATTTTCTCGCAAAAGAGGGACGTCAAGGAACACGATTAGTTTCAGGTTTTCGTAAACGTTGCCTCGCCTCCGTTTCACCTTGGCGAGAGGAGGGAACGGCTACGCGTAAGCTATTGGTGACACTGTCATTAAACCTTTAGAAAGCGTCCGGAACCTTGAGTCCTGGTTCGATGCACATATGCAATTGAGCCTTGTCAAATGCCTGCATGATCTCTTTTGGATTTCTTCAAACTTGCATTTGTGGCTATGTCCACAAGGAGATCTGAGGATTTAACAAGGTCTGATTAATAAGATGAAAGGGGTACATTTGATGTAAAAAAAGTGATATGGTGATACAAGAGAATATATTCTCTCGCGTGATATAATAATGGTGATTGTGATGATAACGATGAATATGAAAATACAAATAAAGTTAAGAGTGATCAAAATAATGGTATTCAAAAGTTTGGTCCTGAGTTCTTATTCTTAAATCCAGTGTTTCCTTTGTTATTCGTCGAATAAAGTATTATTTATTTATTTATTTATTCATTTATTTATTTATTTATTTACCATATTACAAGCGTTCCCTCTCCACAAGGCTTATATGCTCGGATTCGGTCAGGTTCGCAAAGGTTCTTAATGTTTCAGCTAACAGACCCCACTCTTAAAAACATTAAGACTTGGGGCTGTGGCTGGTGTGGCGGGCAAACTGTTCCACTGCTTTATAGTTCTAGGTAAAAAGCTGTATTGAAGATAGGTTTTCTTTTCGTAGGGAATCCTAAAGGATTTGGCGTATTTATTAAGTGGCGTATTTTAAGCAAACAATATAATGAATGGTTCGAACCCGGGGGGAACATTTGATCTAGCAGTCTGTTCGTCCAAGCGAGGGTAGTTCTTAAAGGAACGTTGTCAGTAGAGGTGACCAGCGTTTCGTCAACTTCAATTCGCGGAAGTCATCATCAGAGTCGAGTGAAGAGTTGTTGTCAATTGAGTATATTTAAGTTCGGTCATTCGAACTGATTGGTTAGTTTGGCGGCCAGAGAATGTAACGGAATGCTGTACTGATTTATATGCCACAAGCGCTGAACATAGGACACGATATCATGTCTCAGTTGACGATGGCTGAATGATGTTTTAATAGCGATTAATTCCCCCTCCTTAATAATTTGAGTTCTATCTAATAAAAACTGTTAAGCATTGTTTAATTCGAAACGATTACCTGAAGACCAATAAAGGCATGATATTCAGCTTACAGAAACTGAAATCAGTGAAGTTTTTGGTCATGCGCGCGCGCAAACGTTTTCCAGAATGATGCATGGAAACAGGTGTTCTGCCCTTGATACAATTTCTTCTATTAGGATCTAAGTTCTATTCTCCAAATAGAACTTAGATCCTAATAAACTTGTAAAAACTTCCTTTGTGCTAAAATTGATACAAAAGCAAGACACAACGGCTTGTTTTGCTTTATATTCCAATTATTCGACGTCAGGAGGTCAATTAAGAACTGTCTAGATAATTAGGTCGTAATTGTGTGAATGCCTCCTATAGCTGTTGAACGGAAATTGATTTTTTTCAAAAGTGTATTTCCTTGTTACCTTTCTCATCTTGACAGTTAAGTGCTCTGAACATTGTACGAGCTACTTTTATTCATTTGATAATTTTACCTTTAATGGTGATTTTGCAACAAATATTGACCCTCGGTGCACGATGTATCATATTTTATTTACGATCGCTGACCAGGCCATAACTCCACCAAACAACTTTCCTTTAACTAGGAAGTGGAGACCAGTGGCCGGCTTTAAGTCAAAAAAATAACTTTCCTCTATCGCCATAGTGTCATCAATAAACTGCTAGAATTTACCTCAACCACCTTTCGACTAAGTCAACATACAGTGATTCGGCAGAAATTTTGTATTTTGTTTGGTTTTGTTTTCTTCTAGCCTTTTCAGTGGGAGCCACTGTAAACTGAATCGAAAAGGTTCTACATGAAATATGTGTAAGTTCCAGGTGCGACATTTTTTTTGTGTTGGATTCTTTGCATGTGTAAAGTTCATTATGTAAGTCTTTTCACCCCTTAACATTTATACTTATTGTTTCGTTAGCGCCTTTTCTGTCCTTTTACTGCCACCTTATTGCCGCCTTATTGCTACTTCGCATAATTTATCGTGTACGTATAGCAGTGGCCTGTTTTCTAGTTTTTGTACTAAGCGCAGTTCAGTAACGAATCGCCGTTTTCGCTAGTCCTTTTTCTTCTTTTTTTTTTCGGCCTTAACAGTGTCAATCCTACTCTTTTGAGTGGCCGTAAAAATTTAAGTGTTTTATGGTCCACTTTCCGTCGTGCCGTTTGTTATTTCTCATTATTATGTATTGTGTAACTTTTGTAATTGTTTGTTATTTTAGTTTCAACTTACGTCATTTACGCCGTTGAGGAATTAAAGTGAATTGAATTTATTTCTACACGATGTGGAGTTGTTTATTCCGTGGCCATAAATTTCGCGTGGTTCAGTTTCAATATGCTTTAATAGATGTTTAAAGAATGTGAAGCATGGTTGCTTGAAATGTTTTTTCTTTGTTAATTACGTAGAAAGTTTTCTCAAGTCGAGGAAATTATTAGCTGGCGGTTGAAATAGTGCCACCCGATAATTTCTGTACATATTTTGATGACTTCTCAAACAAAAAAGATTTTCCATGCTAAGAAAATTCGTATCTTTTTTTAAATTTTATTTAAAGTCATTCATATCTTTTAAAATCTAATTTAAAAATTGTTTTCCATTTGTCGTAGTCTCTTTGAGTGGATTTTTTCTTTCCAATTTTATTAATATTAAAAGATGCAACGTTAAACAATTTTTGAAAAGCTACCTTCAAAATAATTATCTTTTAAAACGTCGCGGTTTTATTTTATCTCCTTCGCCATTCCATGAAAAAAATTGAATCTCCTTCATGGCGGGATTATCCCTTAGCAAAGATGAAAG